AATACAAACAGCTCAATGTTGATGCTCTGGGGTAAACTTTCACAAGATGGCTATTTTAGACAAAATCAATTATTACAAAACAACCATTTGGAAAATTATTCTCAAAATTACTGGGGCTTTTCTGGTGCATTTGCACTATCATTTTTTAAGCAGGCTGTCTAAACAACGAAGGTGAGTAATTAAGGCAATTATTCCAATAATTCAGCACACAAAATTCAGAATAAGGAAGAAAACATCATTTGGTATTTCTGACTTTTTCTTTTTCCTTTCCTTTCCTTTTTTTTTTTTTTTCTTTCTTCTTATAATTCCCTCCAATCCTTCCTTTATCATGACTGGTCACAGCCTTTGGTCACAAGATTGATTTTATTCCTATTTGTTCGTTAAGTGTTGTAATCCTGCCTGACAGTTCTTGCTTAATGCAGAAACTAAGCAAAGGTTCTGCTTATGCTGGGCTTCATTTCCAGTCATCTGACGCAGCACCACTCTCGGGCTCTTGCTGTGGTTCTCAGAGAGCCCTTTACCCATGCACACATAGATCCTGTCTCATCACAGGTCCTAAAGCTCTGGCAAAGAATAAGAACTGAATCAATGTCATGACTTTCCGAATTCCTTAAAATCAAAGATAGCGCACTGGCCCTCTTGTCCACTATTTGAACAGACCCTGCAACTGGTACACCCACATGAACTCCGAAGGATAGTCATAATCAAGTAAAGCTAAGGGCAGAACCCATATGGAGAAATAGGTTTCCTAGGAGAAAGCCTCTTCTTCTGTTTTATCAACTGATAGAAAGCCATTTCCTCCCCAGAATGACCTAGACACATATTAAAAGAAATGCATTCCCGTGAGCACTGGAAAAACCTTAATTAAGTCTGTTTCTCATATATGCCAACCTATTTCAGGCTTTACTGGAAAGCCCTATACTGCCTCATCCTATTTCTCCGAACACAGTCTTTTCTTGAAAGGCCTTCTAATTGACTGGTGTTGAAAACCACCATAAAGCAAGGTTATGGATATCTGGGCTTTGAAAGACTTAGTATCTGCAGCAATCTGGCTTGAAGTCTTCAAAGTGACTCCCTAGTCATCTTGGTGCTATGGTTTGCTGTCATTTCCAAAGACCCATAGACTTCTGTGCTGTTTTTAATAACATCTAAACTGATCTGTTACCAGTGATGATATTTTTGCTTAGTAAATTTACTGACACATTTTAGAAAAAGGAATTTAGTATAGAGTACCCCACCTTATGTATCAAGTTGGCTGCTAAAAAATTGCATACTTGATACATATCATTTTACATCAAGTCACATTTATATGACTCAGATGTGCTGGCACTTAAAAGGATATTTATCCAATCCTTCCATAAAGCAAAAAATCATTCTGTAAATACAGTGAACACTTGATAATTTATCTATTTAGTGAATTTTTACTGTCATGACATATGTGTAATCACTATTGAAGAGCAAAGGATAGGATGAAGTGGAAAAAGTGAGACAATTATCATACCACACTTGTGTATACATGCACCCCAATTTCCTGTTGAAAATAGTTTTGGGACCCCAAATCCTGAGAATTACTTGAATTTTCCATTGTGAATATGTACAGCTGACAGAATTCAAGTTCCTGCCTTGTTTTGGAATTTTCTTCCTTCTTCTATTTTTTCCTTTCTGTTTCAATCCTTGAGCACCATGTAGGGAGAGCCTGGAATTCATGCTTGTGAAAGGCAAAATGTGAAACAAATTGAGATGCTCATTAAACTCTACATTGGCATTTCAGCACCCCCAGGAGGATTTACAACGTCTTTCTCCTTAACCTGGGAGCATATGGCTTCCTCATTGTTATTTCTGGGCTTAAAATTCTCCATTGCTGTACTCTAGCTTTCTTATTCAAAGCACTAAATGCCATTTCCTATGATTTCACACTTTTGGTTCAAAACCTCTATGAACACAGTAACATACATAAGCAGTTAAAGAGTGTTTTTCAAACCTCTATTAATTTCAGTGCAATAACTGATTTTTAATAGTAAAAAAACACAATTTGAATACTTTTCATAGCAATAGAAATAAAAATATTGGCTCATTATTAGAATTTTATATGTATTTTCCTTCACATAAAGGCCCCAAATTTTATGTAGTGCTCCTGGTCAATTCAACACTTACTGTGTTCCTACTACGTGAAAATAATTATGCTACAGCACCATAAGTGATAAAAAAGATAGATAAGGCACAACCCTGTCTTCAAGAGCTTTATCTCCAATGGGAAAGACATACAAGAAGCCATGAATTAAAGTATATCAGAGAATTAAATTGTTGCCACAGCACAAAAAAGGAGCAATTAGGCAAACTTAAAAAAAGTAAGATGTCTTTGCAAAGTAAGGACATTTGCATCGAGATATGGCAGCTGATAAGAACCTTGGATAGTGGGAAGAAGGGTATTTCTTTTTTTTTCTTTTTTTTTGAGACAGAGTCTTGCTCTGTTGCTCAGCTGGAGTGCAGTGGTGTGATCTTGGCTCACTGCAACCTCCATCTCCTGAGTTGAGGTGATTCTCCTGCCTCAGCCTTCCAAGTAGCTGAGACTACAGGCGTGTGCCACCATGCCAATTGTTTTTGTGTTTTAGTAGAGATGGGGTTTCACCATGTTGGCCAGGATGGTCTCGATCTTCTGACCTTGTCATCCAGCCACCTCGGCCTCCCAAAGTACTGGGATTGCAGGTGTGAGCCACCACGCTCGGCCAAAGTAGAGTATTTCAAACAGAGAGATTTCCTTTGATTTATCCATTTAATATTTCAGTTAAAAATCAATTTGTAAAAGTAAATGTACCATGGTTTCTGACAATTAACTTTTGAAATAAATTGCATTTTTTCTCATTTATATGTTCAAAAAAAATGAAGCCTCTTAAGATTCGGTATTTCTTTATCTCTCTCTCTCTCTCAATTGCTTCTACACAAGACTTGAGTTATCTAAGTCAGGCTCTCTGGCAAACTGGGTTGTTTCTAAATTTGTTTAAATTATTGTAGATTTCTTGTACCTTTTATCTTAGATTTCAATTGAAATACAAGAATTCAACATCAGTACTGACAAGTAAAAACCTGATTTTAATATCATGAAAAATCTGTGTTGAAGCAGCACTCCAGTTCTCAATTCTGTTTGCCCTGAGCCACTTACTTTTCATTCCCCTTTAAAGTTTCTATTTAAACACACCTCTTTGTCATATGCTGATAAATATTAAAATAACAGGAAAAATCTGCCTGACTTATTTAAGCTGATAATAAGAACAAAACACGGGATGTGTGTCTCCTCCTTCCTTTTCTAACCGTGGCTAAACGTTAAGGAGATTTTGAAACCCATAATTACGTAATAATCGGTCTCACTAAATTCTCTTTGCAGTGAAAAGCCAGGATTTTTGTAGTTTGCCACAGAGACAGAAGGAAACGAATTGGCTAAGTGGTATTGTCATTTCTTTGCTTTATTGTTTGAGAAGAATTTATCGAAAGAATCTCTGTTTGTCAAGCTGTAGTTGCTGTGCCAATAATCACAAAATGATCTTTCCAAGCCCATCTTTGGATAATAAGCTAATTTACAGAACCATAAATTTTACATATTCTCCTAATGTTTATTTATTATAAGAAAAAGAAAACATAGTCTAAATATTCAAATTGATGTAAATTTGGCTAATAGAAATGTGAGCAACATTGCCTCACTGGTAGGCCAATATGATGAAATGATGGGAGTTTCAAAGCTACCTCCTTTGATCTCCAAGTACGTAACACAAGTTATATATTAAAACATCATATTTTGTTTCTTTTTATAAAAGCTCTAAAGGAAACAGTACACACAGCACATTAGGTTTTTGAAGTCTATGGAGTACTATTTATTTCTTTGTATTTCATTGTATTTCAGGGTTCTAGAGTAAACTCACCTTTACTTGATATCTTTCTTTCACTTTTATTCTCATTCTCAGTCTTTGTCTTATAAAAGTATTTTTAAAAGCTTTCCATAAATACTTCAGAAGCCAATGAGCCAACAGAATCAGCTTCTTTTGTTCCCTTCTTTTAGAAGCTCAGCTTTTGTAATACTTCTGTTATACCTATGATCATGGTACCAGTAAGAAAACGCAACAACCAAGTGACAAAGACTGCAAGTACGAAGCAGTGCTGGAAACAGAAAACCATGGGAGGCATTGTTAGGTGTCAGGTGTGAGGTGATCTCAGTGTGAGTTCATCTTAATTGTTTCTCCTGTGGTTTTAAATCTACTGCTACAATAGTAGGGAACAGATTTAGGAGGAAACCCTATTTGGACTTTTAAAAATGTCATAGAACTGGTTGCATTTTGTGTGAAGAATTATTTCAGTTCAACACAACTCCACGGTGTCCCTTCAAGGTGGCCCTTCCTCTCCGCAGCTCTCAACACAGCAAGAAAAGTGCATGCACTGTCCCGAAAGATGAGAGGTTAAGTTCTTTGGAAAAAAAAAAAATACCACCATTGAGGAACAAAATTGGATGCCCTCCAAGAGAAATGATTGGTGACCTGGCAAGAGCCTTTGGTTTCACACCTGGAATGGATGTAGATTCAAGTGGGATCTATAGTTGACACTAAGAGGGGAACCACTAACATATCGGCAGGAGACCTCAGGCCAACGTGGGGCACCTTAGGTCTTTGAGGTTAGCTCTTCTGCAGTTTATTGGAGCCAGCAAGCTGAGGGCAAGTTGTATTGTCAATACAACTCTGCCTCCTGCTCCTCTGTGCGGAAGAAGCAGCATTACCCCACGTTTATCATGTTCCAAAAGCTTGTGCATACAATGGGCAAATTAGTACTGCGTTTAATGTGGTTTTAATAGAGTGAAGTAATGCTTCAGTGTGCCTTAGAAAAAAATCACCAAGAGACATACTTTTGAGAGCCACAATATGCAAACAACGTCACTGTTTTAAAAAACAGTTCTGAATAGGAGGCACGTTTATTATTCTAACTCTAAACATTGAGAAAGACCTTATGACATGGCCTACCTTGCGGGTTGACTCTGGAGACAGGAGGCTGACTAGCAGCTGGGGACCTCCTGTGGAGACAGAGAAAAGAAGGACTGAGTCTGGGTATCAGAACTCCCGATTCCACCCCCAGCACCCCACCCTCATGGTTACTGAGGAGTCTTCCAGGTCGTAATGAACTATGTAATGACATAATGCTATCTCAGGAAGTCAGAGTCCTGTAACCTGGGTAGATGACTGCAATTCTCTCACATCCAGATGGCCTGGAATTTCCCTCTGCACAGCCTCAGGATGCTCCGACTCTGCAGGAAGGACGTTGTTTACTCCAGGTCCCCAACCGGCCCCCTGATGTAGGTTTTGCTCCTCCAAGGAGCCCTCAGAAGAGTTGTTTGCTCAGGCATCAGTTGAAATGTCAGAGTGAGTCCCAATTCCTTTGGGCACTGCTGTAAAAAGTTAGAGCCAGAGGAACCCTCATTGATCAATCACTTGAGGCCCCTAATTTTTGTACCTCAGGAGACCGAGACTGAGACACCGTGAAGTCACTTGCCAAGGTCACATAACCACTAGGAACAGTCATCCAGCTTGCTTTACTTAGAGAGAGGTATTTACATGGAGGAACTAGGATGTCATTCCGTGTCATCACAAGCCTGCTGATGTCAGGGGTTAAACGAAACAAGCAAACCCATGTTCACATAGTACTGGGGCTCCTCCGATTTTCTTGTTTCTTTTTCTTTCTCTGCCCCCCACCCTTCAATTTCACTGATCTCACCATCCTTTTCATGCTTTGCACAACTTCTACCAGACTTTCCCATTTCCGGCTGCATTGCTGGTGAACCTCTCAGGAATACTGTTGAGCAGGGCTCTCAGAACTTCCTGTCTCAGAAGTTAATTTTGGAAATACGGCTTTTATTTAGGGTTATCAATTCAGATAAGCATTTCTGTGTGGAAGCTTTGGAAAGACAGGGACTATGTTTATTTGGTTTGTTAATTATTCGTGAGACTTGGTGCAAAGAAGAGGCTCAATACATTTTCAATGAATAAATAAGTTCTGTAAGCCACATGATTGCTCGTAGGGCATAAGAATACCAGATAGAAAATTGCGTAAGAATGCCAGACGGAAAATTGTAAACAGTGCCAGAGGAAAGTCATTTTGGTTGCTTGATTTCCAAAGTCCCTACCTTATGGAAGAATCATAAGAAGTTGTGTGGCTGATTGTTGAAGACAGTGATATAAATAGGGAGGATAATATGACCACGACAGTTCAGTGTAGAGAGAACTGGACTATGACTAAGAAGACAGAAATCCTAATCCTGGCTCTGGCATCTTCCCACTCTATAGCCCTTGGGCAACTCACAGAATCTCTTAGTTTCTTCCTCACTTGAGGAGAGTAGGCAGCAACTAACATTTACTGGTGATTTACGATGTACCAGGTCCTGCGTGGGGAGTTTTACATATAGTGCTTCACTTAATCTGAGGAAATTTGGCTAGGTTCTTTCCAGCACTGAATGCTCAAAATTTTATGGTCCTCCGCTAATTTAATTCACATGCCAAAGTACATACAGCAATAAAAGACATTTTGGATAGATATATACTAAAAAAAATGTAAGTGGTTAATCTTTCCTATTACATACATGTTGATTAAATTATTCTTTGAAAGAATGTTAATATAAAGAAGTTGCATGATTTCCCGATAGCCACAGGTGATATTCATGATGTTGATGACAGAGTTGCTTGATAAATGACACCTCTTTGCTCCCAGCTCCATCCCCTGGATATCAGACTTCTGAATGGCAGGCACACACTCACTCACGCACCTGATTACTCCAGCAGTCTGTCTGAAGTCAGCGAATGCTTTAAGAATGCTTATCTGAATTAACAATTCTAAATGAAAGCCATATTTTCAAAATTAACTCCTGGGACAAAGGAAGTGTAGGTTTAATTTGCAGCCAAGAAATACAGGCCCAATCAAGCATCCCTCAATGGGATATTTCGTGAAGGTGCAAGGAAACCACCTCAACAGGAACTTTGAGATTTCCACCCTTTGGGTGGTAAAGTACAAGCAGACAATGGACTGCTTTTATGCAGAGCAAAGAGCCAAAAGATAAAAGAAATCTTGACTTATGAGAAGTATAGCTCTATGTGGGAGTTCCTTTTCATACAATAAACCACACTAGCCAGATGTCTCATGAAAACCACTCCAAGGACATAATTATTGCTTAAATGCTACATTCAAGGCAGGGAGTAGCACCCTGGAACCAAAGTCAGGTATCTCAGAAAGCAGTATCTGAGTTATGTGAATTCTACAGTTTCAATTGTTAGGATAACGTGTGTGTGTGTGTGTGTGTGTGTGTGTATGTGTGTGTGTGTGTGTGTGTTGGGATGGGGGGATGCTTTCTGTATGTTATATCCATTCCTGGCAAATGTTAATTGTCTTCAATTCCTTCTCTTGGATTTTCTTCAGTTGTTTGAGGGTATTCACTATTTAAAAATAAAATGGAGTGCATTAAATGGACACTCAGTTTTCCAACGTGTCCCTGCCAGGCTGCTCCATAGATGGCTAACTTATTTCATTGATTTCAGCTCCCTGATGTCTGAAATCCATGATTCAGGAATGAGTCTGAGCTAGACGACACCACTCTCAACTCCGTTTGGTGAAGTTCTAGTGGTAAATGTGCCCTGCCTTGAACTTTTGTTGGTGACAAGGTAGTACCTGCAATCAGTAACAGGATCAACTCTGTACACATGGGTATGAATTTGAGAAAGATCATGAGATAGTACCGTCTTACCACTGGAGACCTGCTTTGTGTGGTAAGTGTGGCTTGCTTTGAACCAAAAGTGACACAAGGGGCCATGATTTGAAGGGTAGTCCTCAGCCAGAGTGTGGGAAGGGCTGTGCTTCAGCTATGCTATGGCAATTATGGTCTTGGGGTACTTGGTTCCTAAAAGTTCACAAGGACCAAAACCCTCAAGGGTGTGGAAAGACCTGATTCTTGAGATAGTAGTTTCACTTGGCACAGCTTATTAATCTCAGCAGGGTTAGGCTGAATGTCCTGATACTACTAACGGAGGAAAAAACCTCAAGCCCTTGCGAACAAATAAGAATAAGAACATCAGCATCTGCTCCACCTTCTCCCTAGTGCTGTGCAATGGATGGTTCTCAGTCCAACCATGCTTAAGAAGCCTTGAATGTGTCCGTATTAATCCCTTCCTCCCCATTCCTACCTCCATCATTCTGGTTCAGAGCTACATCCTCACATTTAATTCCTGAAAATACTGTTTTAACTACTGTCTCTGTCTTCAGGCTTTCTGATCTTCATCTATTCCATAAGTTCTTTCTAAATGTCTTTCTGTTTTAAAGCCTTCCAGGGACTTCTTCCTATAACCCAGAAGACTTAAACAGATGTGGCAAATGAAAAGAATACTGCAGTGACAGTTAGGATTCCAGGTTTCAAGGAAACCTCTGTTGCCCACTAGAAGCTGTATGTTCTTGCCCAAGTCATTGAATCTCCCTAAGCTTTGTTTCCTTATTCATGGAGTGGGGAGTAACAATATTCATATTCATATGATATTCATTTATTCAATATCATGAATATCATTTATGGTGATCTTAGCTGACATAACAGATATGAAAACCCCAGTGTTACACTACTTCTGGATTCAGCAAGAGAAATGTAATAATCCATTGTAATAGCTCACATTTATTGAGCACCTACTTCATGCAAGATTCTGTTTTAAGTGCTTTGCAAATATCAATTCATTTAATCCTCACAACAACTCTCTTTCACACATTAGAAAATGGAAAAATAGAGTGGGTAATTAGCTTGCCCAAATGCATCATTTTCAAAGGAGTAGAAATGGGCTATGAAGCCAGTAATCATGGTTCCAGAGGCCATATCCTACCAGGAAAAAACAACAGAGAAGGATCACTCCTGCAAATATAATCTTCTAAATAATTGGGGTCTTTCCTCTAACAATTATTTATTCAGAAATTCCCATATGTGAATTTTTATGGAGCACAAACTGTATGTCAGGCGTTCTGCTATTCTTGGGAATTCAAGAAAAACTAAACACAATTCTTACTTCTAAGGGGCACACAATCTAGTGGTGGGCAGAGATCCATAAAGCTAGTGATAAGGTTTTCACAGTGCTCTGGGTTCAAATGAGGGCCACTCAGCCAGGACTGATGAGATCAGGGAAAGCATCTCGGTGAAGGTGATACTAGAGATGAAACATAAAGACCATCAGGAGTTGGCCAAGCAGACACCAGCAAGTGGAAAGAGACATTTTAGGAAGAAAGAACAGTAAGTCCATAATTAGGATAGAGAAGAGAGCATGCAGAGAACAACAGACCATGATTACTGAAAATAATTCCATGTGGCTAGTTACCTGGTCTGATTGTTTACACTGCATCCTTCAGCACTTCATATTAGAATGAAGCCCTAAAAGAGCAGAGAACTTGTCTATTCTGGTCACTATTATATTACCAGTGCTTGGTACTGATGGGGATGCTCAGTAGTTATTTGTTAAATGCACATATCTATCTACAAATGAATAGTATGTACTGAATAAATAATTGTTGGATAGATAAACAGATAAGTTAAATAAATAAATAATTAATAAATAATTAAATGGAGTTCCACTCCAAAAGAGGCTGGGACAAGTCTCTAGATTTCATATACATTGCACTAAATAGAAACCCAAGTAACTATCAATCAAATTAATTTGTCTTGGGTACCAAGCACCAGCATTTAAACTTTATCTTAATGATAACACTGGACCACTGAAATGCCTCAAGCTGGAGGGTGACACAGTCATGGAACATGTGAGAAAGATCACTCACATAGAAGCTTGATCAGAGTATACAGAGTCATCTCACAAGAAGGCCGAGTCATAAAACAGTGAAAGGAAAAGCAAACATTCAAAGCAGGGTTTACTCCCACTTTTAACAAATCTATTCTATGAAAATTTCTATGAAAGCAAAGTAAAGGGCTGATAAAGAATTTCACAGAGACTGGCGAGATAGGATACTCTGTAGTGAACACTGACTGAAAAATCAGATGTAGGTTTTGGCCTTGATGTGTCTCTGACTTATGGGGTGGGGGGTTGTTTGCAAGTCACTGGATTCTTGAGAGCTTAGGTTTCTCCTTCTGTAAAACAAAGAGAATAAATGGTCTCAAACGCTTCCTCCAGACCTCTCATTCCAGGATCGTGGGTTCTATTACTCTCTGAGCTCTGTGATAACTTTTTAAAGCATGCAGGAGAGTGAACTCAGTAGCACTTAGCTTAGGCACAAATACTTGAAATGATTTTGGAGAGAGTGTTACTGCAAGGAATATAAAGTTCAAACCCTTCATTTTGCAGATAAGGAGATCAGGGATCGGCAATATTAATTTAAATGCCAAGATCATGTAATTAATTGAAGGTGGAGGAGATGATAATCCTACTCTTATTTATTAAACTGCATGAAGTTGTTATATACAATAAAAAAGTAGGCAAATTGAACTTGGACTTTCTGCTACATTTAAGTTTGAATATCTGAATTCATTAATAACTTATTCCAAATGACCATTAATAGAATTTATGGCCTTTACTGGTCAAAGTGGTAAATACAGAAGTCAACAAAAAATAAAATCCTCTTCTTGTTCTTTCATGTGTGAACTAAAGACTAATAAGACCCAAACTAGATTACTTTTAAAGTTGTATGAGTTCTAAAATACTATAGTGCTCCATCCTATTTTCAAATTTCATTGTGTATACTAACTTAGCTTAGAAGGCAATTTTCCATGTAATAGTTGTATTTTTTAAAATGCTGTTCAATATTTTTTGCCTTTATGTTAGGGATTCAAATGCAACAAAAAAGTCAATGCTTACTTGTTAGATGTACCATGAAGGTTTGTTAGTATAGTGAAGTTGTTTCTCACACTTCGCAAGCTGGCAAGGACCTACAAGAAAAATATTTCAAATGATTAAGGACCAAAGAAGACAAATGGCCAGGTTCAGACTTAGAAATCAGCAACAGTGAAAGCAAGCCAGGACCAGCATAACACATACCTGGGCAAAAGGAGTTACAATCAAGTCATCGCCGTGTCTGGTGAAAAGAGGAAAAAACAACCTTTAGAAATTCACTTGAATTATAACTGTGACATATAAGCTATAATATTAAATTCTATCAGTGTTAACAACACAAATGTTATACAAGTCCTTGTACCTGGATATAAGGCAGGACTCACAATTTGGCGAGAAAGCGTATCCCAAGAGCTTGAAAGGAAAAAATTAGTACGAGATTCATGACTCCTGAATTTACAGTGACTACACATAAAAGCATTTGCAAGTAAGCATATATCCTCAGGATATATTCCTATTAAATAACAGATCCAGAGTACTGTAATTCAAAGCGACTTGTGGATTTTGGTTGCCACAGCCAGGAAATTCAAAGGGAGGGCTGATCACAGGGACACACACAGTTGGAAAAAACGGTATAACAGTCTGGATAAAGGTTAACTTTGGATTTCCTGGCTTTTGTTGATTTGAACCACAGCCTTAATGCCATTTAAACACAGATTTCTGTCTGGGAATCCCATTACTTTTTGTTTTTAATATAACCTTTTTCTTAAAGTACCTAAGGAAAAGCTTTCAATAGAAGTGTGTGGCTGAACCCATCATAGTCATACCATAGTCACTCATTTTGTACCAAAGAACTGATTCAGCCATATCTAGTGTTATATCTGTATTTAGAAAGAGTTGAAAATCTGTTTTCAGATGTGCATGCTGTCTCCCTGGCATATGCTTTGAGAAATCTACTTAAACCCACATTCAGCAAGCTCTCTCTTGAAGATACTAGAAGACATGTTCGTCTGAGCTACAGTCACAAAATTAGGCCAATTTGCTATTACAGTGTGAATCATCATAGCAGCACAGAAGCTAGGAACAGTGAACTTCCCTCACTGTCTGGCCTACCTTCCCTGTCCTCATAATCGTCACACAAATATGATACCTTCTTTATTAACCACATTAGTGCAACCAATAATTATTAATCATGTGCCCTGTACCAGGCACCACGCGACACCTGGGGCTCCCGAGTTGAACAACACATATGTCCACCTGGGCCTCACCTCTATCACAGGCTTTTCACTTGACCTCTTATTTTATAGGATATGTTTCTTTCCACCTTTGTCTTTAGCTAGAAACCTCTGAGCTTCAGTTTAGTCTGGCATATTTCTTCTGTGCCCACTTTGTACAGTGACAATGAAAAGAATACTAACAAGGAGTAAGCCTTCTTTGTGTGACTACTCCGGTCTGCCAGGCCTTGTGCTAAGCAGTTTACATGTGTTATCTCATTTAATTCTTTTAAGAGAGCTGTGCGGCAGGTACTCTTGATATTACTATTACAGGGCTGGGCGTTGTGGCTCAAGCCTGTAATGCCAGCACTTTGGGAGGCCGAGGCTGGAGGATCACCTGAGGACAGGAGTTCGAGACTAACCTGGCCAACATGGCAAAACCCCACCTCTACTAAAAATACAAAGATTAGCAGGGCATGGTGGCAGATGCCTATAATCCCAGCTACTTGGGAGGCTGAAGCAGGAGAATCACTTGAACCAGGAGGTGAGGTTGCAGTGAGCCAAGACTGTGCCATTGCACTCCCACCTGGGCAACAAGAGTGAAACTCTGTCTCAAAAAAAAATTAAAAATTGCTATTATATAAATGATATCAATCCACAGAGCAGGTAACTAGCACATACCTAGTAAGTAGAAGAACTGACACTGATTCCAATTGTAAGAACTTAGACTGTTTGGTTTCAAAAATCTCTGCTTTTAAACACTATGCTTCATTTTTGCTGTTGTCGTCATTGTTTTGTTTTGTTTTGAGACAGGGTCTCACTTTGTCACCAAGGCTGGAGTGTAGTAGAGCGATCTCAGCTCACTGCAACTTCTGCCTCCCAGGCTCAAGCAATCCTCCCACCTCAACCTCTGGAGTAGCTGGGAGTACAGGCACACAACACCATATCCAGCTAATTTTTTTTTTTGGCAGAGACAGAATTTTGCCATGTTGCCCAGGCTGGTCTTGAACCCTGGGCTCAAGCAATGAGCCCACGTTGGCCTCCCAATTTCTGGAATTACAGGCGTAAGCCACTATACCTGGCCTATACTTCCTATTTAATGACTTGCTGCATAGTTGACAGATCAAATCATACAAAATATTCATAATAACCAAAATTAAAATGAAGTAGGGAAGACAAAAAATACTTTAAAAACTGTAATAGACATTTAATATTAAATGATAATTAAAAACAACAGATATATTTCATGAAGTCCAAAGGAGATATGATAATTACAGGTTAGAGAAAGTAGGAAAGTCTTGACTGAGTGAGCAGTGTTTCAGATGAACTTTGAAGGATTTAAAAAGTCAGGGATGGTAGCTATGGCCGGCCAATGAAAAGAAATGGCAGGAACAAAGGCATTGAAATGGGAAAATACTGAACAAGCTTATTAAGATGTTTGATGGCTATTTGGGTGGAGCAGAGCATATTAACTATAGACATTTGCAGAGAATAAGGGTAGAAGGCTCCCCCCCAACACTCATATTATGGACAATTTGGACAAAGATTACAGAATCAGTACATAACTCCATAGAAAGAAATGAGCCAGTGAAGGTTTTTGGTGAGATGGAAAGTGAGATGAGCAAACAGAAACATGTTTTAGAAAGTAAAATGCCTTGGATGTAGAGGGATAGATTGGAGAGGGGACAAACCTGGTAAGAATAGTTAGAAATTGCACTCACTCCGACGAGAAGCAAAAGGTAAGGCCAAGAAAGGAACAGAATGAGACAACTTGAAGACAACCCAGAGGTTTTGCAGGACTCGACATTTAATTGGATAAGGGGTCATTAAGAAATACCATTTTCAATTTTAAAAATGGATATCTGAGAAAACAGTGAAGTCATGAGTAGAAATAAAAAAGTAAGGAAGGCGTTGGGGGAATTTAAGGTAGTCACTGAGTTTTTAAGGTACGTGTTGAACTTTAAGATACTGAATGATATCCAGGTGGAAACACTGAGCAGGAAGATTAAGACATGGGAATTTGAGCTATAGATTTAGGGTTCTTTACAAAAGTAGGAAGAGTGAAGACTATAGCAGGACATGTCCTCCTGAGGTGGGAGTATATGTAAGCAGGGAGCCAAAGGAAGAGCCTCAGGGTTCTTGGAGAGAAGCAAACAGAGTAATCAAGAGAGGAGCAGTTGCGATAAATGGAGTGTGGTGAACTGTATCAGAAACTGCCCCTTTCCAACCATTGTTCCCAAGATGGGTGAAGATCTTGCAGTTTGTTCTGATCTTTCTCTCTTTCTCTTTCTTTCTTTCTCTCTTAATCTTTCTTCCTTCCTTTTTTTTTTTTTTTTTTTTTTTTTTTGAGACAGAGTCTCACTTCATTGTCAGGTGCCAGGCTGGAGTGCAGTGGTGCAATCTTGGCTCACCGCAACCTCCACCTCCTTGGTTCAAGCAATTCTCCTGCCTCAGCCTCCTGAGTAGCTGGGACTACAGGTGTGTGACGCCATGCCCAACTAATTTTTGTATTTTTAGTAGAGACGGAGTTTCACCGTGTTGGCCGGGATGGTCTTGATTTCTTGACCTCGTGATCCACCCACCTCAGCCTCCCAAAGTGCTGGGATTACAGGTATCTTTCTTCCTTTCTTTCTTCTTTCATTTTTTTTTAGGCTAGTCAAGTGAAGTGTTCTGATTTCTGATATGAAGTTACCATTGTTGATAAGACATCAGGGTGAATTTGGGACAAGATAATGGATTTAGATTTAAGTGCATCTTCTATGACTCCTGGATTTCCAGAGTCTAATATCTAATAAAAGCTAAATATTGTAAGTAAATCTCATGGATTGGTAGTACCTTGAGCTGATGTATTGTTGAATGAGTTGGAGGAGTTATTAAAATTGTACAATCCAAAGATTAAAGGAGATAAATATACATTAACAGAGTATAATGTCAACATGACTTTATCATTACTGAACTTCTGAAATTTAGGAGAACATTCACAAGCAAAAAATAGATTTTACAGATTCCCAGCACTGGTTTCCTTAAAGAATTTGAGCTGCCAAAGTTAAAGCTGTATGTTAGAAAATTGCTGTTAGAGAAATTATCAGATAATTTATAGTAAGCAACAGAAAAGAAACAAAACAAAACAAAAAACTTCTCTTTGAGTACATCCAGATTACTTATGGAAATACTATACATTAAAAACGTGATAGTTTGATAAATTACCAGTTAAGAATCAAATGGCATAGAAACACCAAAACATTTGATTGATTATGAAAACTGATACATTTCTTACTTTCACAAACCACTAGAGAAGGCAATGCCTCTCCTGGATATTCAGAACCATTGTATGAGCAACATCTAGTGACAAAGCCAGCACATTACACATTTATACAATAGCTGGAAGTGAGCACTTCAGTCTTAGGACAGAGTCATAGAATTGAGTGTAGGTCTACTCTAAACAATAAAACGCTTTTCTAGAAAGCAAAAATGCTGTCTTTCACTGCTACACTCTGAATTTTATTAATCCATTCCACCTTGCTCCGTTTTCTCACTACACACAGAATTTAGTAATTTGCTTGATTTTAGTCTGTCATATAGAGAGATTTATATTATAGTGATTAACAGCACAGATTTTGGAGCCAAACAGCATTGATTTGTTTCTTAGCTGCATTACTACTAGCTATGAGACATTAGGCAACCTCTCCATGTCTCAACATTTTTACATGTAAAACAGGGTTCTGTGAGAATCAAATGAATTATTACACATGTAGAACTCTAAATAAAAGTGCTTAGCACATAAAAGCAGCTTAGTTATTGAGTTATAGTTATTATTAATACCAGTAGGCATCTTTACTTTTATATTTATGGTCCTCAGCTTAATGATTATTTGACTTTTTTTTTTTTTTTTTTTTTTTTTTTTTTTTTTTTTTTTGAGACAGTCTCTATTACCTAGGCTGGAGTGCAGTGGGACAATTTCAGCTCATTGCAACCTCTGCCTCCTGGGCTCAAGTGATCTTCCTATCTCAGCCTCCTGAGGAGCCTGGAC